CTTTTGCATTTTAACAAGATTTTCATCAAATATTTTTTTTTTTTAGTTTTTCTATGCTGGTTGTATTTATATTAAATCCCTGGTGAGTATACACTTGTGTCTGTGCTGTCTGCCCCAGCTTAGGGTTTGCCTCACACTGCTAGAGTGAATAGCCACTAAGGGCAAGTACCTCCCTAACATCAGTGCCCTAATTTTCATCAAATATTAATGGAAGATAATAAAATAACTGTGATTCGCATTTTTAAATAAACTGTAAGAAAAAGAAAATGGGCCAATGCCAGGCGTGATTCCCCACGCCTGTTATCCTAGCACTCTGGGATGCTGAGGTGGGAGGATCCCTTGAGGTCAGGAGTTTAAGACCAGCTGGAGCAAGAGTGAGAGCCCATCTCTACCAAAAATAGAAAATTTAGCATGGTAGGGTGGCAGGGTGGTATTCACCTGTAGTCTAAGCTCCTTAGGGGGATGAGGCAAGAGAATTGCTTGAGCCAGGAGTTTGTGGTTGCTGTCAGCTAGGCTGACACCATGGCACTCTGCCCAAGCAACAGAAGGAGACTCTGTCTCACTTTGTTCACTGCTCTTTAACTATGACCCTTTTAAATCTTGTCCTATTCCTTAGTGGAGATTACCTTATGAGCTTCACAGAGACTGAGAAACTCCTTTCACTGGTTAAATAATTCAGTCTATTTGCAACATATGGCAAACTTTTCAGCATTTCCATTGCACACACAACCATCACATCTTCCATATTAGTGGAATATGCAAATGGTGTAAAAAAAAAAATCAGTTAACAAACTTCACAGAAACCTTTGCTCTTTCCTGGCCTAAAGCTCTTCTGTTGGTATGTTTAATTTATGTTCTAGCCCCTTTGTTAAACATCAACTTTCTTCCTTTAAAATAAAATTAAAAAGACCCACACACCTGAATTAAGTAGCATACAAAGCAGATTTCCTTAAAGATAATATTCTTCATTACTGCCAAGGCCTTACAAAGCTTCTCACTAAAAATTTTACATCAATTAAACATTCTTTTAACATAAAACTCCCAGGACATGCCAACAGCAATGATCATGACCTCCACTCTAGAAAGTATATTTATTGAAAATACCATTAAAAAACATTTCCTATAACCTTGTGAAGGGGATCATGTCAGGTATGGTTGACCAGTCCTTGTGCTACTAAATTGAAGATCAATGTCTCTTATAAAAATCTACACTTCTAAAATAAATGCCTATAAATTGAGCATTCCCATAACTCTCTTTTCAACTTCAATAATTTGGTACAACTACTTGTGGAACTCAGCAAAACACTTTAATTACACTTTCCAGGTTATTAGAATTGGTACAATAAGGATGGCCAAGTGGAGGAGATGTGTAGTGCAACACAAAGTGGGGAGGCAAGACAGCGCTGGAAACTAATGCTGGTAAATACCGTGTTTCCCTGAAAATAAGACAGGGTCTTACATTTAGTTTTCCTCAAGAAGACACCCTGGGGCTTTAATTTCAGGGGATGTGTTCATTTTTTTTAACTACGGTACAACAATCTACATTGATTCTAATGTAGTTAATTCGTCTTCTGGAACATCATCATAACTCTCCAAACCCCAAATTCCATCCTGAATTTCTTGTGACTCTATTTCCTTCAGAACCATTGGCCCCAACCTCTCATGTCGAGCAATAGAGCTCTCATGGGGCAGATGAGAAAGGCTTCAAGTCTTCTTCACTGCTCAGAGAGGAAATGCATGGGTTGTGTAGCTATGCTGCATATCCAGGCCCATCACTAGGTCTTATTTTCAGAGTAGGGCTTATATTATGCAAATGATTAGAAATCCTGCTAGGGCTTATTTTATGGGTAGGTCTTATTTTTGGGGAAACACGGTAGCTGTGATTAAAGAAATCTGCCATCCTTTTTGTTCATTAAGAGCAGCTCACTGCAAAGAAACACCCTTTACGTTATGACTTAGATGATGCTCCCTGTTTTACTTATCACAAAGCCAGACACAGACCCTGAAAATTCCCATGTTTGCTTCGGAAACAATTAGATGAACAATTCTGTATTCACTAGTCTAAACAGAATACTTGCAAACCAAATGTGACTTAAGTGACTCTCCTGCCAGGCCCCTGAACTGTATTCCTCCCTCAGACTTAGCTGGTATATAACCCTTCTCTCTGCCCCTCCTAAGAATAGTCTGACTTCAGGGTAAATCATTTTCTGATTTACCACGTAATTGTGCCACTTGACTCCCTGACATCTCCCTTCAATATTTTTTTTCTAATCTCATTTACTCCTTCCTATAAAAGGAAGCCCCTTCCTGCCTAACCTTTGAGATGCATGCAGATCTTATATTTGCTGTCTCCCCCAGTTGCAATACTCCTTCACAGTAAAGTCACTTCTCACCTAAATATGAAATTGTTATTTGCCAATGTTTAAAAATAGCCCCAGGACAGCCAGGTGTGGTCACTCACGCCTGTAATCCTAGCACTCCTGGAGGCCCAGGCCAGCAGATTACTTGAGGTCAGGAGTTCGAAACCAGCCTGAGCAAGGGTGAGACCCCCCGTGTCTACTATAAATACAAAGAAATTAATTGGCCAACTAATACATATAGAAAACATTAGCCAGGCATGGTGGCACATGCCTGTAGTCCCAGATACTCGGGAGGCTGAGTCAAGAGGATCGCTTGAGCCCAGGAGTTTCAAGTTGCTGTGAGCTAGGCTGACACCAGGGCACTCACTCTAGCCTGGGCAACAAACGGGAGAGTCTGTCTCAAAAAAACAAAAACAAAAACAAAAAAAACAGCCCCAGGACTGTAACAGTTGCACTCTCAGAAGGGGCATCGCAAAGTCTTTCCATCCCCAAGCCAATCAAACCTTCCAGTCCCCAGATTTCCAGAGCTCTGTAGCTTCTCTCAGTATAAAGGGCTCCTTCCATGGCTGCTATGAGCAGGCTGGGACACCTGCAGGGGAAGCCCCTCAGGAAAAACTCTCTGGGCCCTCAGTGACCGCCTTCTGCAGACTCACTCAACATTTGCCTGAGATTGGAATCACTCGTCTCATGCCTCTGCTTCTCATTCAGGCTTCTTCATTTCATTGTAAATAAAAAAATACCCAGTGTTTGAAGAATCTAGAAAAATTACTTAAATTCAGTGTTTAGGTTGATAGAAGGGAGGGAAATTCTGAAGGGAAAATACTCAAACCACAACAATCAACACAGAAGATTTATCTAACCAAATTTCTACAAATTTCTCCCTACTAACAAACAAGCAATCAATTTTGCAGCTGAATGTATTCAAATATAGCCCAACTCTGATACTATCTAACTGAAAATAGTGTCAAATCACACAGGTTTAGGATTCAAACCCCCAAAATTATTCCCCTTTCAGACACCACTTGCAGGTCCAGGACTTCAAAACTTCTGATTGACCAGTCTCAAGTGGGAGTTCAATGACCTCCTGTGTATATCTCATTAATTTCCTAGACCAGCTCAAAAAGCTAAGAAAAAAAAACTTATTGTATTCACTGCTGTATCATAAAAGATATCTAAAAAGATATAAACAAAATGCCAGATGATGAGATACAAAGGGCAATGTATGGGAAGAAGGGTGCAGAGATTCAAGCCCATGCCAGGCTCCCCACCTTCCAGGAACCACCACCTGTTCAGCTATCTGGAAGCTCTCCAAACCATGTCCTTTGAGGTTTTTAGGGAAGCTTCATTTATAAGCATAATTAGTTTATCTATATAAGTCACTTACAATCCACTAAACCTTCAGGCTCTCCCTGCTCCCCACAGGTTGGGAGTGGGACTGAAAATTTCATCCCTTGAAGCAATGGCTGTTTTCCCAGGAAACCAGCCTCCCACCCAGTGCTCTCCCAGAGTTTTGCCTCATTAACATAAGCTCAAATGCCTTTGAAAGGCTAATTGCAAACAACAAAAGATTGTCTTTCACCTTTACCATTCAGGAACAACTTCAGGAAACAAGAAATAAAGACCAAATATTTTAACAAAAAAAGATTCTTATTGCTATAGTCATTCAGCAAATAGCAAGGCTTACAGGAGCTGAGAGCCAGGAATCATGGATAAAGAACAAAATATAATATCACAGAAGTTGTAAGGCACTTCAATTTTAGGCTTTTACAGCAAAAACAAAAGTATTGATTTCTTTTAGACAATAAGGACATTTAATTATTATTTTCATGATAACAAATCATTTAGTAAACAATAGCATGTGAACTCTTCTAAAAGTTGTCAAATCCCATCTCACAGGCTTTAAAGTTAATCTCCAACACCCAGATAACAGGACACAAAGCAGAGTGATCCACTTTCACAAATCCTCCACCCTAAAAAAAAAAAAAAAAAGAGGAGGAGGAATAGGTGTTTTGGTGAATCTTTGTCATTTACTAATCTTTTTCTCACACTTTCTTGTGGAAATGTATTCATTTTTCTGTAACCAAAATGGAACAAAACTTTGTTTCTATTTCCCTTTCTGGGTATCCTTGCCAAAGCAAAGCCCCCAAATTCTATTGAAAATTACCTGCAAATAAGCAACAGACCTGAGAACCCTACTGCACTCACTCTGGAGAAGAAAACAGGTAAGTAGTAATTTTTTTAATGCAATATATAAATAGAGTTTTTCTGAAATGTACTTTGTTATGACGGTTTTTTGTGGGAGACAGAGTCTGGCTTTGTTGCCCAGGCTAGCACACATGAACCCCGCACACCAGTCGAAGTCCTTCCCTGATGACCCTGCCGTAGTCACCTCACAATGGAGGGGAGACGCAGGGCTACATCACAGAACCACCCAGACGACTCCCACTAGGCCAAAGATGCCCGGGAGGATGAGACAGGACGCCCCTGGTTCCGCTCTAAGCCGCAGGGGACTGCGGGCCAAGCTGGCCTGGTGGGTCCCGTCTTCAGACTCCAGGGTCCATCACCGGGAGGCCGGGGTCCTGCCACAGCCAGTCTCGCTGGGTTTCAAACGCCCTAGGACAGCCGGCCCCACGCACTCACCATTTTCCGACTTCCGTGGTGCCCAGGGATCCTTCCTGCAGACGTTTCAGAACTCGCAGGTCGTAGGGTGACAAAGGCTAAGGGCCACCGCAGATGCCCCAAGCAAACAAGAAGGACCACTGAAGGCAAACTGGAGCTTGCAGGAACGGCATGAAAGAAAGGCCTGGCCAGCTCCCGGAAGTCCCGCCCTCCCACTGCAGGTCTGATTGGACAGATCCCACCACAGGATTTCTGACTGGCTAGGGCTCTAGACCACACCCCTTAGGTCCCTGACGGACAAATAATGTGAAACCACCTGCTAATGGCGGCAACCAGGGCTGTCTCCCTGCCCTGGCACCTGGCGCTGCCTGGAGGACATTCACATTTAACCTTGTATAAAAGGTTATATCCACTTTTGAATATGGATATGATATTCAAAATTGTAAACTGTATGATGACAAATATTTTAAAATTTCAGACTTGGTAAACGTATTTTTTTATTGCTTAACTTAGGCACTTTGGTAGGTTTTGGGATTTTCTGCTATCCTGCTCTCTTTGTCTAGTTTCATCAACACCACACTGCTTTAACTATAGAACCTGTTAATGTGTTTTAATTTCTATGGGAGCAGAAAACCTCACTGTTTTTTTTCTCAAGAATTTTGTCTATCCTTGTATGTTCTTCCATGTGCTTTTTGCAAAATCATTGCTAGCTTTAAAAAAGCTGATAGACTCTATTATGACATCAAATCCAATGTTGACGTTAGCTTAAGGATAAGGGACCTCTATATTATTGATGTTGTTTCTATCCAAGAACTGTTGGGCCGTAGAAATGTACAGCCCGTTTGGGAGAGAGACGACCGCCCAAAAAGACTCAGAGTCCAGAGGCTTGATGCAAGAGAGCAAGAGGATTTTATTTCGCAGGCGCGGCGCATGGCGGGCTAACAGCATCACCAAGATGGGGAGGCTGCCGCCCCGAAGCTCTCAAGCTTAGGGTTTTTATGGGGCGAGACCACACGCAGGTGGCCAGGGAGTTTAGGGTGGGAAATTCACTAGCTCCATCTTGCAAACCAGTTGCAGACACCACTACCCAATTCCGAGAACTTGCAACGGACACTTACGGGAAAAGATAAAGAAAAAGGGAGGGGTAGGGGTCTTAATTACCTATGAGCAAGCATAGTTACAGAAGCGAAAAGCTGGTTAGGCTAGTTTGGGCCTTTAGGCTAGTTTGGGCCTTTCAGAACAAGATACGACTCTCCATTTGTTCAACCCTTTGCACTCGCTGGCTTTTTTCTCTGTCGACGGAAAAAAGCCAAACTCTGTAAAATAATTTTAAAGAGATTTATTCTGAGCCAAATTTGAGGACCATGACCCGGAGCCACTGCCAAGAGGCCTTGGGCAAGTGGACTCGCTGGGCTGGGTTACAGTTCAGTTTTATACATTTTCAGAGAGACAGGGATTACAGGCAAAGTCACAAATCAATACATGAGAGGCATACATTGGTTTGGCCAAAAAGGTGGACATCTCGAAGCGGGGGCTTACAGGTTATAGGTGGGTTTAAAGATTCTTTGGCTGGCAATTGGCTGAGAGAGTTAGACTTTATTTAGAAGACCAGAAAGGATATGCTTGCTTTAAGATAAGGGTGTGAGCACTCTGGGAGGTCCAGACAGGAGGAAGTTTAAATTTACAATAGGCGCCTGCTGGGATGCTAGGGTGCTTGAGTTAAGACAGGTGCTTCTTATCTTTTAGGTGATGTTAATGCCATGCCAGAATCAGGTTGGGAAGTAAACCACCATTTCAAGTGGTTAACAAAAGCCGCTTAGTGGGAATTTACCGCTTGTCAGCCTGACCCAGCTGGCCTCCTTAGGAAGGAGTTTTTAGCTAAAGAAGAAGATCAGAGTTCAGTCCTCAGTTGTCGGGAGCAGGGTTTCCTCTCCCCGCTGTCTCACCCACTCCAGCAGCGGTTGGGCCACGACAGAGAATGACGCAGTTTCAGCATCACTGGTTTACACGGTTGGTTTTCAAACTGTCTTAAATTGTCAGTTCTATGGCTGCTGCTACTTGCCCCTAAGATGGGGAGACTGTTTGGGGGCGGGCAAGAGCAAAGAAACACCCCATTTCAGACTTGAACTGTGTCTTGTTATGTGCTGGCGAGTCAGAAACGAACACACGACCCTCCCAGACCCGCCACAGCCGACAACCAAGGTCTCCTCCTGGGAGTTGCACGCCTGGGGGCCGCAGGCCTGGCCGTCTCTCTCTGCGCGCTCGCCCCTGCCACGGCAGCAGACCTGCGCCCTGGCCTGGCGCTGGCTGGCGAGCAGTCTGGACTCAGGCTCACTGCTGGGAAGAGAGCCGAGGTCCCCAGCCCCACTCACTCTCCTTACAAGCAAGGACGGTGGGGCCCTGGAGCCAGACAGGAGGGTGGGGAGTGTGGGTGGCAAGGCCACACCAGCGTGGTGCGTGTGTGTTCCTGGTGCACACACACTGGGTGCCCAGAGCCCGGCACGTGAGGCTCGGTCGCTCCCAGGGGTGCTGGCAGGGACGGAAGGACCCAGAGGGATGTGGGGCCCTGGCGCTGGGGGTGGCAGGGAGGGTCCTCAGAGGAAGTGACATCCGGCTCTTCTATGAAGGTGAGCAGGAGCCACTTGGGGTGTTCGGAGCAGAGGGGAGCCCCGGGAGAGGGGGCTCATGCGCCCGCAGCACGAACAGGTGACTTGTCCGGAGAGGCATGCACAGCTCCATGCTGTTTCTCTGCCAGGTTGGAGCCGCGTGTGCCAAAGGAAGGAGCAGGATCCAGCAGCCGGGACCTCGGATTTGAGCCTCTGGCAGTGGGGATGCCTGCGGGGAATTCTGTGGGCACCACATGGAAGTGTTTCCTCTCCGCTCTGATTCTCTCAGTCTCTGTCTCCACCCCATCCTCTGATTTTTGCATCATCTGAAGAAAGCACAAGTAGCCTCTTTCGGGATGATTTTTTTTTTTTTTTGAGACAGAGTCTCACTGTGTTGCCCCGGCTAGAGTGAGTGCCGCGGCATCAGCCTAGCTCACAGGAACCTCCAACTCCTGGGCTCAAGCAATCCTCCTGCCTCAGCCTCCCAAGTAGCTGGGACTACAGGCATGTGCCACCATGCCCAGCTAATTATTTTTTTCTATATATATTAGTTTGCCAATTAATTTATTTCTATTTATGGTAGAGACGGGGGTCTCGCTCTTGCTCAGGCTGGTTTCGAACTCCTGACCTCGAGCAATCCGCCCGCCTCGGCCTCCCAGAGTGCTGGGACCGGGATGACTTTAGACGAGCACTTTGGCCTCTGCGAGCTTCCTTATGATAATTCGCAAGCCTTGCAAAAGAGATGGTGGCAGAGGTTAGAAAACCTCCTAGCATCTCTTCCGATGCTTTCAGTCTATGATTAACAGGTTGACTCTTCATTCTCTCAAAAGTCACCAGTTGCACAGTCAATACCACGAAGGCTTTGTGTCTGCAGTTTGTGGACTTTGGCACCCAGTAGGTCCGCACGCCCGGCAGGCAGGTGGCTCTGCAGCCACAGCAGCACATGGGGTCGTAGGCCAGCGCCTGGCGGTGCACGAGTCCCCTCCCCTGCCTGGGCCCTGCCGCCCTTCCCTTCTGCCCTGCGCAGTGGCCCCCAGCGCTGCAAGCCCCTTCCAGGATCTGACTTTCTAAACTGCCACGGCGCTTCCTCCCGCACGCAGCTGCTCGCAGTCCTGCCTCTGCCTCCAGGGGGAACTTGGTCTCTTGGTCTTACTGCACATGTCTGTGTGACGCAGGTGTGGCCGGACGCTGCTGTGCTCACCTGGGCCATGCTGGGGGAGCAGTCGGTCTTCACAGCTGCTGACAGGCAGATGCAATTTACTTTCTTCCAGCATCCCCAGCCTTGCCTTTCGCACCTGTCAACCCAATTGAAAACTTTTTAAAAAAGTCTCTTGTTAGGCTGGGCGCGGTGGCTCACGTCTGTAATCCTAGCACTCTGAGAGGCCGAGGTGGGCGGATTGCTCGAGGTCAGGAGTTTGAAACCAGCCTGAGCAAGAGCGAGACCCCCGTCTCTACCATAAATAGAAATAAATTAATTGGCCAACTAATATATATAGAAAAAAATAATTAGCTGGGCATGGTGGCACATGCCTGTAGTCCCAGCTACTTGGGAGGCTGAGGCAGGAGGATTGCTTGAGCCCAGGAGTTGGAGGTTCCTGTGAGCTAGGCTGATGCCGCGGCACTCACTCTAGCCTGGGCAACAGAGTGAGACTCTGTCTCAAAAAAAAAAAAAAGTCTCTTGTTAGAATTAAATCTCTTCTGGAGATAATGGGCATTGAAAATAATCTTTTGTTCCTAGTCACTTTTGCTCCCAATACCTCTGGTGTCCACCTGAGGGCAGAGTACTCCCATGGTGTTCACACTTGTGAGCAGGAACCGATCTCCAGGCACCGGCTCAGGCGCAGAGTGCGGCCGGGACAAATGCAGACGTCCTGCCCTCCTGGACTCACTTCCAGTGACAAATAAGAAACCTCAGTGTGTGTGTCGCCCACACAGTGCCAAGGTACAGAAGGCGTCAGTCAGCTTTGTCAATTAAACAGACAAAACCCAAATAAAACATGTCTCCGCTGCTTTTAAAAACTACTATGTGATCTATTTTTTTTTTTTTTTTAGACAGAGTCTCACTTTGTTGCCCAGGCTAGAGTGGAGTGCCGTGGTCAGCCTAGCTCACAGCAACCTCAATCTCCTGGGGCTCAAGCATCCTCCTGCCTCAGCCTCCGAGTAGCTGGGACTACAGGCATGCGCCACCATGCCGGCTAATTTTTTCTATATATATTAGTTGGCCAATTAATTTCATTCTATTTTTAGTAGAGACAGTGTCTGGCTCAGGCTGGTTTCAAATTCCTGACCTCGAGCAATCCACCCTCCCCGGCCTCCCAGAGTACTAGGATGACAGGCATGAGCCACCGCGCCTGGCCTACCAATAAAATTTTGATAATTATCTTTTCTGTATTTTTTTATGATATTCAAATGAAGAAATTTTTAATTGGTACTGATACAGTATCTTTTTAATTAAAATGATGAGACAGAATCTTTTTGTGTCTTTTGAGGTTTCCTATTGAATCTGCAATGCCTAGATTATTATTTACAATTATACATTTTTAAAATGGCATACATAGGGAAAGCCATAA